GTGTAATTCATGTCAGATGTGTTTTTGTCAATAAATTAAAGCATGATGAATCTTGAAAAGATGATCGGCGTTTTGTAAGAGTGAAATTTGTGAGAAATAAATGTAATTTTTTTCTAAGACTGAATTTGATAATGACGTTTAGCATGACCATCTCACTTGTTATAAATTGCTTAAATAAATGGTTGTGTTTCACAAGGACACTTGGTTTTATGGTACATATTATTGCCTTCAAAAATTAGAAGGCTGATAATTGTTTATGATCTCAACATGAAGCCCAGTAGTAATATACAATATATTAAAATTTTTCTAAAAATTTCAAACACCTCACCTTTTTTTAAAATTTTCAACTTGCTTTTCAAAGATTTGGAATAATATTTTTGCAATGTTAATAACCTAACCTTGTTTTGTGGTTTAAGGAAATGTGATAAATCAGTTTTGTTTGAATTTATAGCAAAAAATCACCATTATAACCTCTTCCCACATGAATTCTCCTCATGGGGATAGTATAGACAGTACTGAAACAGCTGATTTATTACACATTTTGTGAATGATATTGGAAGGAGAGAGACTGTAGTGCTCTGATTGGCTTAGTTTAACTTTTACATGTTCTTTCAATAATGATTAAATAACACTTTTACAGTGTAGGTATTTTGTGCTATGATCACAATTCAAGTGTGGATTTATTTTCATTTTGGCTAGGTACGGAAGAGGGTTAAACTAGAAGGCATTGAGCTGGAAGAATATTTGAAGAAAGAAAAAGAAAGGGAAGCTGAAGAAGCTAGAATTAAGGCAGAAGAAGCCTTAAAGTAAGGATATCACCCTATAACTGTTATCTTTAATGTTTCTTTTTCATGTGTCTATATGTTTGCATGCTTATAACTTTCTAATAATGAGTATTTCTTGAAAAATTTTTGGTGGAAACATTTATAACAAAATTAGAAGCTTTTTTCTCTTAATTATTGAAATCAAATGTCTGATGACCAGATAACAGAAAGACCTCATACATCAGTTATGATAGAACAATCTGGATATTCGATGACATTTTTATTGAAATTTTTTCACTGTCGAAGGTGCCGAATTGTATGTGAACAATTAACCAATACATCTTTAATGCATATTTAGTATGTATATCCAGGAGAGTTGCCAATTACCATTTCAGAGCACTGGATGAGGAGTCAAGTGATGACAGCGATGTGGACATGGAGGCAGATATGCAGTATCAGGGGAAGGCTACTAAGCATGATCTCATGGTTAAGACTGAGGTAAGTGTGGTACTGGCATGGCAAAGCATTCGAAACATTCTGATTGCATTTGAGGGAGAAGTGAAATGGTGAAAGACTTCAAATCCTGCCAGAATGTTTGCATGTGCCTCAAATGAACCAGCATGCAACTCGAATGCATCTTGATTGCTGGCCAAAATTCTATTTCGGCCAGCAATCGAACTACACTCATACAGCATTTGAAGTGTATTCTAAATATTCTGACTGCATTCTGACAGCATTATCGATATTCCTAGTGTGTTTCAACTCCATTCGAACTCCAATTGAGAACTTATACACCTGAAATGTGCACAAATCACTCGAATTCGAAGTGCATTCTGAGTATTCCAACAGTATTCTTACAAGAACATAGGTCAATTTGAAATTTCTTCCCAAATGTGGTGCAGATTTTTAAAAATCTTCATTCCGGCTCATTCTGCTTGATTACTGCTGATTCGGAATAAGTGTGACGGCTATACACATAATGTCTGCAGCAATATAATGGAATGTAATAGTTTAAATAAGTTTCAGTTTAGTATCATTTGTGCACACAGTAAAAGAACAATAGATACAGTCTTCCTTGAGATAAATGACTATTTAAGGGGGTTTTATATGTAAGGATTTATTTCTTTATCCAATGAAATCATGTAGAAATTGACATTGTCTTGTAATGTGATAATGTTGTCACATCAAAAATACATCAAAGTGAATTTGCCCATTCAAGCTGATGATGTAATGGCAGCGTTTTTGTGATGAAAACTGTAATATCGATTTCAAACAGATCTACCTCACCTGAATAACTATCAACTCTTGTTTTAATGCCTATGTAATCACAACAATAATTACTACAATCCACTGCCAAAATTTTTTTTTCAAAGGCTTACTTCTAATTTTATTAGTAGAAAGGTGAAATAATTACCTTTGTTTAATAAGACATTGCAATTAAGAATCTGTATCTTGTAAACAAAAACATTCAAAAGCTGGCACCAGATTGTTTTTTACACCCCAATTATCAACCATATCAATTTTCATGATGATATCTTACTTAGTTACAGTGATACATCATGATCCAATCACAATGTCTCACCGCTATTTACAAAGCAGCAAAATTGACAATAAACACCTGTGTGCAGAAGCCAGTAGGATGGTGAATAAAGCAACAGAAGGAGATATTTTACTCTAAAAATGTTATTTTTTATTGCTCTAATATTAAGATAAGTGTTTCATATAAAAGAAATGTGAAAAAGGCTTTGACAAATGTAGGCCTTTTTAACATATCCAACACCCCGAAGATCTTCTAAAGAGTAGTGCCAGTGACTGCAAATTAAATGAAAGTGAAAGCCAGCAGTAAACAAATTTCCAACACTACACTCTGTGGTTTTAACTGCATACAATTGTTAACTACTCCAATGTGGCAAACTTTTGGATGCCTAATCAGCAGTAACTTTTGTGAACTGTGATACAAATGTAGAACTAGTTGAGCTCTTGAATAAATCAATGAAAACACATCTGTACATTCTAATGCTGCACCAAATTATAGGGTTGTGTCAGAATAGCTCCATGTGAGTATTATGTGTATAAAGGCATAAGTAAATTTGCTGTGTAATGGAGTTAAGTGCAATCAGAATTAAGACTAAGACTGCATTCCCACAGATTTAGATCAATCCATCTGGATCGACCTAACTCCCTGGGGGTTCACGCTAAATTGCTGTCAGCTCAAGAGGCTTTAATTCCTGTCACGCCTACCGAATCAGCTAGGGTAAAGATAATTACCCCCTAACAACGTTACTAGGTGTGCCAGCCAAGTTGACAGCAATTTAGTGAGACTTCCCAGGGGGATAGGTCGATCTAAATATCTGTGGGAATGGTCTCTTAAATGAAAATCTGGTATAAAGGGGATAATTATGAATATTTTGTGCTAGAATATTTTGCTGGAAATATTGTTACACAATTACCAAATGGATGTACAAAGATGCGTTATTAGATGGTAAAAACAATAGCAAG